CTTGAGCCACAGGCGCCAAGCCAATTGCTATTTATTTGTAACAGAAAAAGTGGGGAACAACCCAATCCTTCACTAAGGGAATGGAATAAACTGATGTATTCATTCAGTGGGCTATTATACAGCAATTAAAATGAATAAAGGCTAGGCATAGTGACTCACACCTATAATCCCAGGACTTTGGGAGGTCAAGAGTTCAAGACCAGCCTGAGCAATATAGTGAGACCTCATCTCCACAGAAAAATAAAAAATTAGCTCACAGGTATGATGGCACTCACCTGTAGTTCTAGCCACTCAGAAGGCTAAGGCAAGAGGATTGCTTGGGCCCAGGAGTTTAAGGTTGCGTAAGCTATGATGATGCCACTGCATTCTAACCCAGGTAACAGAGTGAGACCATATCTCCAAAAAAAAAAAAAAAAAAAAACAGGGCAGCACCCGTGGCTCAAAGGAGTAGGGCGCCAACCCCATATGCTGGAGGTGGTGGGTTCAAACCCAGCTCCAGCCAAAAATTGCAAAAAAAAACCCCAAAAAACTACATTTTCTTGTCAATATGAATGTTATTAGTCCAGTTCTCCAGAGAACTGATAAGATAGAAGAGATAAAAAGAGATGTACAATTGGCCTCTGCAGTTCTAGAGGCTGAGAAGTCTCAGATCTGTAATTGGAAAGCTAGAGATCCAGGAGAGCTGATGGTGTCAATTCCAGTGTGAGTCCAAGTCAGAAGGCAGAAGACAATATTCCAGCTCAAAGAATTTTTCAGTGGATTGGATGAGGCCTATTCACATCTGCTTTACTCAGTATACCAATTCAAATATTAATCTCATCCAGAAACATCTTCATAGACATATCCAGAATAATGTTATCCAAGTGTCCAGGTATCCTATGAACCAGTCAAGTTCATTGCTTAAGCCCAAGAGATGGTTATATAAAAACCATCACAATGGACAAATATCAGAAACATGTATATATATATATATATTTTGTTTGTTTGTTTGTTTGTTTGTTTTGAGACAGAGTCTCAACTTTCACCCTGAGTAGAATGTCATGTTGTCATAGTTCACAGCAACCTCTAATTCAGGCTCAAGTGATCCCTTTGCGCCAGTTTTTTTGTTTTTGTGTTTCTATTTTTCAGAGAGATGGGGTTTTACTTTTGCTCAGGCTGGTCTCGAACTACTGAGCTCAAGCAATCCACCCGCCTCAGCCTCCCAGAGTGCTAAGATTATAGGCGTGAGCCACCATGCCCAGCCCAGAAACATCTTGACTGAAAAAGGTAAGCTGCAAAAGAATATGCCCCATCTGATACAATTAACATTACTTTTTAATCCACAAATAACAAGGATACTTCTGTAGTAAAAGTACAGAAACACACTGCAACTTAAGGATGGGCACTGTTTATCTTTGGGGAGAGATAATGTGAATACATGAGTATATGGCATATTTAACTTGGGGTGCTCTTCCAGTTTGAAATTATTCTTAATTTCACTTTGAGACAGAATCTTAGTCACCCTGAGTTGAGTGCTGTGGTGTCATAGCTGACAGCAACTTCAAACTCTTGGACTCAAGGGATCTTCTTGCCTCAGCCTCCCAAGTAGCTGAGAAGACACCCACCACACCCGACTGGCTATTTTTAGAGACGGGGTCTCGCTCTGGCTCAGGCTGGTCTTGAACTCCTAAGCTCAAGTAACCTGCCTGCCTCGGCCTCTCAGAGTGCTATATTACTGGCTTGAGCTACTGCCCTGCTTGTTATTTAAAAAAAAATTGGGGGGGGGGGTGGCCGGTGCCCTACCCTTTTGAGCCACAGGCACCACCCTGAAATTTTTTTTTTTTTTAAAGTGAAAACGGGGTAGCGCCTGTGCTATAACACCACAGCACTCTACTGAGGGCGATAAAATAAGACTCTGTCTCTAAAAAATAAATAAATAGAAAAGTTGACTTTTATAATTTTTGAAGAGGTTTATGAACAAGGGACAAAAGTCAGCCCAATATACTCATTACAGCATCAGAGAGTACAGGTGTCCAAAGGGTAATTTCAGGTAATCTCTAAGAATGATGTACACTAACTGAACATCAAAGCTCAAAATGGAATGTTTTTCTTTCAAATCCTCTCTGCAGAAAGACATACAGGTAGATTTCCTGTGCAGTAGCAGTGAGACAGAAACCTACCCTTATCTAATGCTGCACATCTGTATGCTGGGCATGGTGGCTCATGCCTGTAATCCCAGCACTTGGAAGGCAGAGGCAGATGGATTCCCCTGAGCTCACAGGTTCAAGAATAGCCTGAGCACGAGTGGGACCCTGTCTAAAAATAGCCGGCATTGTGGCAGGTGCCTGTAGTCCCAGCTACTTGGGAAGCTGAGGCAAAAGAATCACTTGAGCCCAAGAGTTGGAGGTTGTGAGCTGTGATACTACAGCTCTCTACAGAGGGTGACAATGTGATACTCAAAAAACAAAACAAAACAAGGAAAGAAATGCTTTAGCATATGCTGTCCAACAGTCTTTTTCTTTTGGGGAATGATACCTCTACTTTGTGCGATTTGATTAGGGCTATCAAACAAGGCCCTCTGCTTTCCTCGATGCAGAGATGGATGAACAGATAAGTTGGTCAGAGCACCCCATTACCTACACACAGTCACTACTCCAGAAACGGTCACTGCAGTTTGTTGGGGATTCACATAAACCCTGAGACAGGGTTTTCTTTGCAATCATAAGGACTGATACTACTACTCCTAAACTATGTATCTCCCACTCAATGAGTGGTAAGGACTCACAATATGGTAATCCAGTCCATGACTAGAAAACTGATAGGCAAGGCTCCCTTCTGCAGTCCATACATTATTTGAGTAAACAGAAACACCAAGACACAGACATGGCAAAATATTTAATATCGGTAGGTGTACCTCACCCTCACATTCCTATTACGGTTCAACAGCCTCCACAAACTGTCAAACTGGCACTGACTAGCAGTCCCAAAGAAACTGTGGGCACTTTCTTCCAACAGGGCTTGAAAATCATCAATGACCTAGTCCTCTCGACCTGGAAATAATGGCAGGTGAGGTCTTTCCACAGCATGCCCCAGACCTCTCTGCTCAGGAGATAGAGCCCCCCAGTTCTATAGGACTCCCGAGGTCTTCTGTTCTTCTGCAGCCTGGCGCCGCAAGCTGCGCCGCTGGAAATAGTGGTAGACTCGGACACTGCAGAGGTAGCCCCCGTACACAGTGAGGAGCATCATGGAGGTGGAGAAGGTCTTGTAGCCAATATCAGCTAGCTGCTTGGCAGTCGGCATGTCGTCCTCTATAAAGACAGATTGAATTTACACCCAAGGATAAGGTCTCATCTGCGTTGCTATCTCTCTGTTTAAGGCCATTCTATAACTTTTCCATCCTGGTAAGTCTGTCTGCCCTCTATACCAAATGTAGTCCCTACATGTAGGCAGTTTCATAAAGACACTGAAAGTATCATTTAGGAATTCTACAATTCAAAAAGGAAAATAAAGTCTGCACACAAGATACAGAAATGAGGGTGTCATGGTATCACAGCACACAGCAGCCTCAAACTCTTGTGCTGAAGTAATCCTCTTGCCTCAGGTTCTTGAGTAGCTGGGACTACAGATGCCTACCCCAACACCCCAGCTAATTTTTCTTTTCCTTTTTTTTGGAGACAGTCCCAAGCTATTGCCCTGGGTGGAGTGCCATGGCATCATAGCTCACAGCAACCTCTAACTCTTGGGCTCAAGCAATTCTCTTGCCTCAGTTTTTTCTATTTTTTTTAGTAGCGACAAGGCCTTGCTTTTGCTCAGGCTAGTCTCAAATTCGTGAACTCAAGCTATCCACCCGCCTCGGCCTCCCAGTGCTGGGAGGATTACAGGTGTGAGCCACCAAGCCTGGCCCTAATTTTTCTATTTTTAGTGGAGACAGGGTCTCACACTTGCTCAGGCTGGTCTTTAACTCGTAAACTCAAGCAATCTACCTGCCTCAGCCTCCCAATATAAAATTAAAGTATAACTTCCAAACTCAACATTAAGAATTTATCCCAACTGGTTAAAAAGAGACTTCTTGGGTCTCCCACAAACTATTTACTCAAATTTGCATGAGATAAATTAACTGTTTCCTGGATATTCTGAACTAGGGAACAAGAGAAAATTTAGTAAGGAATCTTTTGTCTGGAATAAAATGTTCTTCAATTTGGGACTCCTTTCTGTTGAGGGCACTGATATTAAAGACTGAAATCAGTAAAAATAGGTTTCTTAAAAATGAAAAAGAAGAATTTGGAAAAGACAAGCTCAGAAGCAGCTAGTTTAGGAGGTCAGAGATACACAATTGATTCTCAGAGGGACTCTAAGATTTAGACACTCCCTTTGAGGCAGACCTTTGAAGGAAGACATAAACTGAGCTGAGGCACAGCTTCTCTGAAATATAATCCTACTATGGAAACAGACATTAAAAAGGTGGGAGGAGGTGGCACCCGTAGATCAGTGGGTAGGGCGCCGACCATGTACACCAAGGCTGATAGGTTTGGGGGCTACCTAAAACAATGACAACTGCAATAACAAAAAAAAAACTGGCTGGGCATTGTGGTGGGCACCTATAGTCCCAGGCTACTTGGGAGGCTGAGGCAAGAGAATCACTTAAGCCCAAGAGTTTGAGGTTGCTGTGAGCTGTGATGCCACAGCACTCTATCAAGGAGAGGAAGAAAACCAAACAACACAGGTTCAACATGAGCAAAGGCCAAGTTAGGGTTATCTGAGGTTTGAAACGACTCTAAGCTGTGCATGAGAAGGTGAAGAAAACACACACACAGAGCAGGCCACTAACGTAGTAAACATATACTTGCCAAAGAGACCAAGAGCCTTTAATCTCCTGTTTGCTTATTCTTTCTCCTTCCACCACCCTGGTCAGATTCAAATGTTAACCAATTATAGGATGAGTTTTTATTTTTTGGGTTTTTTTTAGAGACAAGAGTCTCACTTTGTCACCCTTGGTAGAGTACTGTAACATCACAGCTCATAGCAACCTCCAGCTTTTGGGCTTAGGTGATTCTCTTGCCTCAGCCTGCCCAGTAGCTAGGACTACAGGCGCCCACCACAAGGCCCAGCTATCTTTTTATGTTGCAGTTTGGCAGGGGCCGGGTTTGAACTCTCCACCCTCAGTATATGGTGCCAGCTCCCTATTCACTGAGCCACAGGCACCACCACCCCACCCCTCCTTTTTTTAAGACTACATCTCACTCTGTTGCCCTGGGTAGAGTGCCATCATGTCATTGTTGCTCACGGCAACCTCAAACTCCAAGTGATCCTCCTGCCTCAGACTCCCAACTAGCTTGGACTACAGATGCCCACTACAACGCCTGGCTACTTTTTCTTCTTTTTTGTTGAGACAGAGTCTCACATGGTCACCCTGGGTAGACTGCCGTGTCACAGTTCACGGCAACCTCAAACTCTTGGGCTCAAGCAACCCTCCTGTCTCAGCCTCCCAAGTACGTGGGACTATAGGTGCCCACCACAACTTCCCGTTAGCTTTTCTATTTTTTGAGAAAGGGTCTTGCTTTCCTCAGGCTGGTCTTGAACTCCTGAACTCAAGCAATCCACTGGCCTTGGCCTCCTAAGAGTGCTAGGATTAAAGGCCTAAGCCACCACACCCGGCCAAAAGGACCACTTCTTTGAGGGGCTGGAGGAAAAGGGCTGGAAGCATTCACCAGCCAACCAAAACTATTGCTTGGCCAGAAGAATGACACAAGACTAACAGACATAATCTTGGGTCTAGAACCTTACTTCCTTCTCTTGTCTAATCCATGCTGATGTTTCTAATTTTGAATTAGCAAAAACTCCTCATACACTCTGAGCTAAAGCAGGGCAATAGGAATGAAGAGGATAGATTATTTTAGATGAAGAACTAGATTTATGAACTGAATAAGAGCAGAACTGAAAATACTTCTTTCAGTTTAGGGCAAAACTGAAAATACTTCTAGTTTAGGAACTTTTGTAGATTGGGATACTGATAAGAGAAATAAGAATTGAAGTGCAGCATATATACTAAAACTGGGTCCTGGACCAGGCGAGGTGGCTCATGCCTATAATCCTAACACTCTGGGAGGCCAAGTGGATTGCCTGAGGTCACAGGTTCGAGACCAGCCTGAGCCAGAGCCGAGGCCTCGTCTCTAAAAATAACCAGGCATTATGGCGGGCACCTGTAGTCTCAGCTACTTGGGAGGCTGAGACAAAAGAATCACTTAAGCCTAAGAGTATGAAGTTGCTGTGAGCTATGATGCCACAGCACTCTACCAAGGGCGATAAAGTAAGACTCTGAATAAATAAATAAATAAATAAATAAACTGGGCCTTTACAGAGATTAGCATGGCCCCAAAGGCATGAATGACATGCAGGCTGGTTACAGTGGCTCATGCCTGTAATCCTAGTACTCTGGGAGGCAGAGGCAAGTGGACTGCCTGAGCTCAGGAGTTTGAGACCAGCCTGACCCAGAGTGAGACCTCCTCTCTAAAAAAAAAAGCCAAGCAGGGTGGCACCTGTGGCTTAAAGGAGTAGGGCACTGGACCCATATGCTGGAGGAGGTGGATTCAAACCCAGCCCTGGCCAAAAAAAAAGTGCAAAAAAAATAAAAAAAGCCAAGCCTTGTGGCAGGTACCTGTAGTCCCAGCTACTTGGGAGGCTGAGGCAAGACAAAAGAATCAAGCCCAAGAGTTTGAGGTTGCTATGAGCTGTGATGCCATGGTATTCTACTGAAGGTGACAAAGTGAGACTATCTCAAGAAAAAAAAAAAAAAGCAAGAAAAGAAAGCAGTATAACTGTATCTATTGAGGGGGATGGCAGTATCAGTAAGTAAGATCAGGAGCTGGGTTTGGATATGTTTAAAATTAGGATGCTTAACATAACATTCACATGATGGGCTCGGTGCCTACAGCTCAACC